CCGATTTCGCGTCAGAAGTTGTAAGGGAGGGGCGCTATAGCGGAATATAGGCAGGGCACATCGTTGTTGGGGAATCCCCAATAGAGGGCCGCCAGGAGAGGGGGTCGTATTTGGGCTGAGAAAAATTTATTTTGATAGTTGATTTTTCTCGCTTCTCGCTTCATGGACGTTGTAAAGGGGGGGGGTCGTACTTGGTCATTTTTGGGAGGGGGGGGTCGTATTTACGTTTTGGCGTTGTAGGAGTGGTGGTTGACTTTTGGTGATTTTCCTGTTTCATGCGTACTATATGCCCTATATGCCCCCCCCCTCCCGCTCGACGGCCAGCTCGACTCGATGAGGAGGAACAGAGGGCTGGAGGGAGAGGTCGTACCTACCCCCCACCCCTCCCCCCTCCCGGGGTCGTACAGACTCGACTAAAATCCCCAACCAATGATGTGCCCTGACAGGCATTCTGTATAATAAACCTCCCCCCAAAGTTTCCACTCCCGTCCTCTTACCCGAACCACCGCCTTCAGAAAACTTGCAACAGAATCGCTCACATGATGCATCTTGCTTCTGAAGATAGAGCAACAAATCAGACAAGACAAAAAAGTAAACGGATCGATAATAGCAATATAAAAAATGACTATTAATAAACAGTAAGGGTAATTGTTAAAAGATACAGTCACTACTCCTACAGACGAGAGGCTTGTTTGGGGGGGGAGGAGGGCAGAGGAGGGTGCGAATTGGAGAGCAATCAGGGGGCTTTTCCACAAAATGATGCAATCCTGAGCCCGCAACATTGGAGGAAAGGCTTTCCTGGCTGCGCTCCAGTTCTCACCTCACACCCTCCCCCCCCCTCCCAAACACGTCCACTCGTTTGCAAGGAGCACGACCACGAAAGTGGCCCAGAAAAAAAACAGCTTTCTAAAAAGTTTTCAATTTTTTTTGAAGTGTTGTAATTTATGAGCACCTTTCTGGTCGAGGAGTGTATTTCGATGTATTCGTTCCTTTATCTGCCGGTCTGAAAGGTAAGCATTTATCTTTCAAGTTATTCACTAGGGGTGAATTCGTTTGTGCATATTGAGGAGGTCCATCAAGGAGGATCATATCCCGGACTACGATTCATGTACAGTGCTCGAATTAAGCATGAACGGGTTAGACGGAAAAACTCACCTGAAAATATGACCGGCATCAGCGCTGTTTGTACGATTCCGGTTGTGTTCATGCCGACTACCCGAGGTGTATGTGTGGATATTGCCATCCCAATCGTCGTACTCTTCGCTGATCTCTGAGAATATTCAGATGTTGGATTCCCTTTTCAGCGTATCCAGGGGGGGGTCAAAAAGTCACTTTCCTTCATTGACTTTCGAGGCGCTATAAGTTACACTTTATTAAATTCTGATCGGACATTTTCCCACCATATTAAAGAGCATATTAAATACTATCACGA